GTTCCTCTCCATCACCCCTAAGACCTCTGAGCTTATTCTGGGCGTATTCATCATTCTCTGTTTCCTCTACCAGTTCTCTTTGTCCCACCAATGCCGCCCCACACACCCAGCGGTCTTCTGGAATGACATGTCTCTCTTCGGGTGCCCCCTCCCCTTCCAAATATTCAGGTTTGCGTGAGAGAGCGTCCGCCCTAATGTTCTCTGGGCCTGGCACGTAACTAATCTCAAAGTTAAATTTGGAGAACTCCTGGGCCCATCTCACTTGCCGTTGGTTGAGCACTCGTGCCGTCCTCCAATACTCTAGGTTCTTGTGGTCAGTGCACACTTGCACCTTATGTTGTGCGCCAATTAGCAGGTGCCTCCATCTCCGGAACGCCTCATGAATGGCTAGTAGTTCTCGGTCATACACCGTGTAGTTCCTCTCGGATTTGTTCAGCTTTCGCGAAAAAAAGGCACACGGTCTCCACTCTGACCCCTTCTTGCCTGGCTGCAGAAGCACCGCCCCAATCGCTCTGTCTGATGCGTCAGTTTCCACTCTCATCGGTTTTTGTAAATCCACATGCAGGAGTTGTTGTTCCGAGGCGAAGGCCCTTTTTAGTTCCTCAAATGCTCGCTCCGCCTCCTCAGTCCACACGAACTTCTTCTTACTGCTGAGACAGTCCGTAATGGGCGCCGTCAGGTGGGCAAAGTTTCGGATGAACTTACGATAGAAGTTCCCAAATCCTAGGAACCTCTGCACATCCTTCTTTGTTTTGGGTGTTTTCCATTCCAGCACCGCCTGGACCTTGCCGGGATCCATGGCCAATCCTTTGTCTGACAGGCGATACCCCAGGAATTCCACCTCCTTGGTATGAAACTGACACTTCTCCAGTTTCACCCACAGCTGGTTGGCTTGCAGCCTGCTCAACACTTCTCTGACGTCTCTCACATGCTGCTCCTCATTCTCAGAATACACCAACACGTCGTCTAAAAAGGCCACACAATTCTTGTAAAGCAAAGGCCCCAGGACGTGGTTCATAAACGATTGAAATGTTGCGGAGCCTGCTTGTAGGCCGAAGGGCATAACCAAATATTCAAATGCCCCTAAAGGGGTGAACATAGTGGTTTTCCATTCATCCCCCTTCCTTATTCGTACCAGGTTGTACGCCCCCCTTAGGTCCAGCTTTGTGAAAATCTTTCCCTTCCGCACCCTTGTCAAAATGTCGTCAATCCTGGGCATAGGGAAGGCTACTGGTTCTGACACTGCATTTAAGGCCCTGAAGTCACACACCAGCCTCGGCTTGTTCGTGTTTTTCTTATCCACAAAAAACACTGGGCTGCCCCCACCGCCCTGGACTCTCTGATGAACCCTCTCTTCAGGTTCTTGTCAATGAACTCTCTTAACTCCTGCATCTCTCTGTCTGACATGGCGTACAGCTTGCCTACAGGGAGCTGTGCTCCAGGGAGTAAGTTGATTTGACAGTCAAAGGGTCTATGCGGGGGTAGTTGGTCAGCTTCCCTTTCGCTGAAGACGTCACGGAGATCTGCATATTGTCGTGGTACCTTCACGTTCTCTGTTACTTCAGTCCCTGCTAGGGTGGCTTGGACCCCTGCCAAACCCTTTCCCTCTTTGCAGTGTTCTAAGCAATGTGCTGAACCAAAAGAAACCACTCTCTGATGCCAGCCCACCAGCGGATCATGTAACGCTAGCCAGCTCATCCCCAATATAATGGGAGCTCCTCCCAAGGTGGCCACATTAAAAGCTATCAGTTCGGTGTGCCTTGCTACCTTCATTATCATTGGGACGGTCTGCAAGCTGACTTCTCCACCCAACAGCTCCCTGCCATCGATAGTGGTCACCTGCAGGGGGCTGCTTAAAGGATTGTCTGTATCTGGTGTTCAGCTGCAAACTCTTTGCTCATGAAATTGCAGGAGCTGCCTGAGTCCAACAGCGCCTTTATCTTTAGAGGGTGTCCGTTTGGCAGCTCTAGCGTCACTTCTATCACTAGGGCGGGTTTAGGAGGTTCTGGCGTGGGCACTCTCACTGCTCTTTGGCCTGGCTGCTGTGCCCTGACAGTGGCAGCCAGGCGTTGGCTTTACTTGCTCCGGTATATTTTCCTCTCTTCCATCCACAGCTCCTACCATCCCTTGCCATTCTTTCCTCTGAGGGCAGACTCTGGCAAAGTGACCTGGCTGTTGGCAGAGATAGCATTTCCGGGCGCCTTTTCCCTCCTTCTTTGCCCCCTCACTGGGCTTTGAAACTGCGCGCGCGCTGCTGTTCCGATTTCCATCGGCTCTGCCGGTGGGAAAGTTGGCTCTGGAATGTCTGGAATGCGGAACTCCTTCCAACGTTCCCCTTTCCCTTCCCGCCTCTCCAATGCTCTCGCCTCCTGGCGCGCTCCTATGGCCAGCGCTGATTTGGTCAGCTGGTCCATAGACTCCGCCCTGGGCGCCCGGGAAAGTTCGTCTTTCACAGCCGAAGAAAGCCCTTCTTCAAAGAGCATCTGAATGGGTTCCGCCGATAAGTCCCACCCCAATCTGTGAACAAGCATGGTGAACTCAGTCCAGTACTCACGGACAGATCGGCTCCCCTGTTTGCAACCCATTAACTGTCTGCGCACCACTCCCTTTTCAATATCGCTGGAAAACATCAGATCCATGGCGCGAAAGAACTTCATCGTGTCCTTTAAGACGTCACTATTAGCTGCCATCAGGGGTCTAACCCAGTCTCTCGCCCCCTTTTCAAGATGCTCAATCACGAAAGCCACTCGTGATTCCTCGTCAGGAATTCATCAAACTGCAGATTGAGGGCATATTGCATTTCTGTCCGAAAACCATGATAGTTTTGGGCTCCCCCAAACTTCTGCACCAATCCTGGTACCTTTCTGGCAAACTGGGTGGCTTTCCCCTTTTGTCTGCATCCTGAGCCCTCCTCTCCTCAAGCCTCGCCGTCTGCATCGCTAGCTGGACCTCCAACATCTGGTACCTTTCTTCCAGGCTTGGACCCGCTCCAGCTCCTGCTTCTCCGGTTCCGGCTGGGTTGCTCATGATGCCTTCTCCTGCACAAGCTGCTTTCAAAGACTGTCGGAATGCTGTGATGGGATGATGAGCTGCTTGTGCGTAAAATCGTATCCCCTCAGAGTTTGTTCAAGTCCACAAACCTCTGTCTGTGAGGAGCCCCTCAGACATGGCTACTCTAGTCACTAGCAGATTCCGACAGTGGTTGCTTTCGTAATCGCTTCCAACATAAAAGCTCCTTAACGGAAACACGTCTTCTGGAATCTCTGCGTGACAGTTTCCGGCGAGGAGTGGGTGTTCTTACAGGAGGTCCTGAAACTTCCCCACTGTTTTCGCTGGAAGTGTCTCTGAGCCATCCCTCCAGCTCAGCTCCTCTCCCCCTGCTGGTTCCCTCTTCAGCTGCTGCGTCTCTCCCAACCTGTGTGAGCCCTTTCACCTCCCTGTTGGTTCCCTCTTCAGCTGCTGCGTCTCTCCCAACCTGTGTGAGCCCTTTCACCTCCCTTCCGTCCGATGGCAGTTCCCTGACATATATCTACCTTTTTATTTATTTTTACTAAACCTAATGTCTTCGGATAATCTGATCTGCATTGCAATATAAAATGATGTTTCAATGTAAATGCTTTCACCTTATCTGTACTGTAGCATAAACAAAGATACTCAGATCAGATGTGCTTTATTATCTCTGATCCTCTTTTCTTTTCTTTTCTTTTCTTTATATTTATTTATATTTATCACGGAGAGAGAACATAAGGCCATAAAGACAGAAAATTAACAAAGAGCTCCACTCCATCCCTTTCTCAACATCCACACCATTTTTGACCTGACAGGCTGCAGCTCATGGCATAAAACCATAGTGAATAAAAACAGAAGCACTAATGGTGAAGGGAAGGGGCCCAAAAGAAACTTTGTAGCCTCTGATAAAATTTGGAGGCCCTATGTATTAGTGGTACCCACTGGAGACTGACTGCATTCCCCACACCCTGGATATTCATATATGCCCCTCATTATTTAATTCCTTCTTATTTTGCTTCACCATAGGACAGCATTAAAATGCCAAGACAGCCCAAGAGGGGCTATCTGAGTAAACAGAAGACATTGTATACCAGGGGTGAGAATGTCGTATACAAATCATCAGGAAATTTGGAAAATAACAAAAATATTTTTAAAAAACAAACAAAAAAAACCCAGCATATGCAATTCTTCCCGAAAAGGACTTCCCATCAGATGTGGGTAATTTGTTTGTTTTCGGGTGGTGCTGCCCTCCACCTGATTCAAGTCCTTCCTGACAGACACAGTATTGAGACAATGAGATCTACACATCATGGTCTGGTAGGAAACACTTTGGTAAGAAAAAACCCACACATTCAGAGGATATAGTGTTTCAACATATTTCCTATAGATGGATGCAGAATGTACAATCTCATTAAAAATAGATTTACAGCCCCTCTGGGTGTTATTATGTAGAGAAATTATATTTTGTTTATCATAATATCTTGGTATGCTTTGCAAAAAAAAAATAAAAGAAAATGAATCATGCCAACAGTTGTGGTGCTGATTTAACCCAGCAGTGCCTTACCACGAACTGAAACAATATGTGAGATTCAAGAAAAATGCACAGTGTATTCTAGAAGTGTGCATTGGATTTGGACAAATCCTGGATCCCAAGGTGAAGTGGAATGTCGAGAAGGTATTCTGGGCTTATCAAGTGCCAAGTGGAATCTTTAACTGAAGTGCTTTGTGGCACCTTGGCAACCCAAACATAAAAAAATGCCATAGGCAGCATCTACTGAAAGTGGGGGAAAATGTCTCTAAGCTTAGCATAATGCCAGGGTGGGATGATGGGAGAAGGGAGAGCAAGAACCAGAGTGGGAAGAGAATTTGGAGAAAGAGTTCTGTTGTAGCTGATAAGTATTGCTTGAATAAGAGGGAATTATTTTACTAGGACTCTCAAATCCCAGTGCTTAGGGGGCAAGGAGCAGTTTTTCAAGAGCAAAACCTAGAAGATGCCAGGATACAGAGGGAGAGAAAAAGCTCCTTTACAGAGGGAGAGAAAAAGCTCCTTTGTAAGGTGGAATGCTTTTCATCCATAAAGTAAATCTCTTTTAGTTCTTCCCACCCCAAAACCAATTTTAAAGGTATCCCACACACAAAAAAGAAGGCCCTGGACCTATTTGCCTGCAAGTTGATAGGTTTCTTATCCAGGGGCACATTTCTCATATCTGCAGTTTTCAAACCAACTGCCTAAACAACACTAGGGAGAATTAAGTGATTCCTTTTTCATTCACACAAAAATGGCAATGTCTGTCCTTTGCAGCAAAACCACTGCAGTCACCATTCTGAAACTTGGTATGATTCATACTCTCAGAAGGGGTGAGCTTTCTTGAAAATTTCATATAATTTTCGTTCCCAATTTTAATATGCTACTTTTGAGCTAAAAAAAAGTCCACTACATTTTAGAGGTACCTAGCACAAATACCACTGGACTTGTGTGCCCGTATTTGACCAGCTTTATCCACTTTGGAGGTGCTAGTATACCTAGAAGCCTCAAAAGGGGGGGGGGGATAGCCTATTTTGATTTCCTAACAGTGACTGGGACTGGGAGGAACAAAGTGTAGGGGTTCTATCCTGCCTGTCCTAACCAGTCTTCCTAGCAAGTTGATTCTGGGGCTCTCATGTACCATCCTGAAAACATATCTAATTGTTCTAAACTTAAAAGAAAATGGGTAACGGCCTCAAATATGGGAAGTAAACATTCTTCCCATGCTTTGAGAAGCAAAGGGGATCTTTTGATCTATCTGCCTTATATTTGTATATCTAACCCAGTATTTTCTACTCAGTGGCTCTCAGGCAGGTGTCAGGGATAAAACTTGGGGCTTTCTGCCTGCAATGCATGTGCTCTATCATTGAACTATAAAACCATCAAAGCTATGCACATTTACTATTTCTAGTGAAGAAAATGCAATTGACAGCTCATGATAAATGTTTTTAATATTTCAGCCCCAGCCCTAGTGCAACAGAAGGCTGCACGCCCACTGCCACACTCAGCCGTCCTCATTTCTTCCCCACCAAACAGATTATCAGCTCTGTCAGCTCTTACATCACTGAACAAATGTGGGATGGAGTTCCTGCTCTCAGTATCCTTCTCCAACAGGTGACTGATACTGTCAGTCTTGATCATCTGTTCAGCAAATTGTACAAGAATACTCCACACTCCATATGGAACACCCTTGTTGGTTTGGGGGCACTGTTTGTCAGATCCACATGGAACAGATCTTGAAAATGCAATGGACATATTTTCAATGAACATTTTTCTTTTAGTTAAAAATAGCTTTTCCTGTGTTAAATGTTCCATTCGCCACATTTAAAAGTGGGGGAAATAATACTTGCAAGACAAAGGCATTTTTAGGGCCTCTTGTAAAAGTAAGCTGGACAACTTCCAGTTCTCTTTCCTCGGCACAGCAAATCCTTATGCAGAGTAGCTAATAGTTTTCCAGTATGTCTACAAGGGAGAAACGCTTCATTTACCAAAACAGTATGAGAAACTGCAGTAAAAAAAACCTTGCTCAAACTAAAATTAGAACATATTAGTAGCAGAAGAAAATTTCCAGTGCAATCATTTTGGGTCATATAATAAAACAGTAGTAAATGATCCAAGACTAGGTTGCCAGCCTTGCTTAATTATTGGGTGTAATAATTAAGTTTGGTTAGAGGTCATGGAATTATCTTAGATATGGAGGTGTTGGCTCTGTGGTCATACAAGATAGCATATGGGAATGGCCTAAAGTCCTATTGTGATGCAAGCAAAAATATGTTCCAGATTGCACCTCATTGATTAATGAGTATGCACCCTAGGACCTGTCTGTAAGTCAGAGAAAATTCAGCTTATAACATATAGGTCAGTGACAGTACCCATATAAATGCATAGTATAATTGCAAATATGATCTGACAACCAACTATAAGATGAGGGGCCACAGCTCAATGGCAGGATAGAATTGTCTCAGGTAGCAAAGCTGGGCAAGAGCTCTGCTTCAGACCACTGCTAGCTAGACAGGAATGACCTGTTAAGTATAATGGTTTAATTCACACAGAAAAGAAAAATGTATATGCATTAATGAAGGTTTGTAATGCAAAATAGCTAAATGTGTATTGCTAACACTGGGGTTTCCCCCCACAAGATTAAGTAACTGATTGTTGTTCTCTGGTAGCTAACATGTGAGGGTTGTAGCATGGGATCATGTGAGAGGTATTGAGTTGCAGTCTCCATTGTGAAGGGTGTTGCTTTGAATCTTTGCCTCCCAAAGCTTAATACAGTGAAGATGCAAATGGAGTTTCTCTCTGAATGCTACAGAGAGAAGAATACATGTAAATGGCTCTCCTGAAGGGAGAACAAACAGCCTGGAGGCTGGAAAGGAAGCTGGAGAGAGAGAGAGAGAGAGAGAGAGAGAGACCTTTGCTTATAGGTCTGTTTGAATTATTTCATATTTTGTAGGATGCTCAGCCTGTGCTGGACATCACAAGATATTGTATGGATGTTTTAATGCTGTTTTGAAGAAAGTTCTGCCAGTAAAAGTTTGAATAATATTTCTATGGGCCTGGGCAATATTTCATTTCCAAAGGAGTCAGCTCTTATGTTTCCAGTCACTTCAAACTGTGGAATATTTAATACCTGCAACATGACCTAGATGAACAAATGATATGACTGAGTGCAGGGCAACTTTATGTGTCCAGTAGTGAATTTTGTTTATTCCTCGTACACAGGCCAACAGCTCCAGAGTGATTGCCACTTCTCTGTAGAAGAGTATTTGCAGCCTCTCAGCTGCTTCTGTAAAATGCTCTCTCTTTCAGTGGGCAAGACATGATATAAGCATGGAAAGATGCCCCAGTTGTCAGCCCCAGCCTAACTGGTAAGTGGCAGAAGCCTCTTCTCTAATTTCACAGCCAAAGATAAATGCTTGCTGACAGTGATATAAATCAGGTTGCAGGCAAAAATTAGCTAAGAGCATATAGATAATAATATTATAATAATATAATAACTAGCACATAATAATATGTGAACACATGTATGTACTTACTCAGGAACCACATGCAACCCCCTCTTTAGTACACACACACTTTCTCGTGTTGGTTTGTGCAGTTAATAATAATTAGAAACCTTGGAAAATAATTGTTTCACACTTAGCCAAGGTTACACAATTATCTCTATTTCCTCACTCAGATAATCTCTCTCTCTCTCTCTCTCTCTCTCTCTCTCTCTCTCTCTCTCTCAGGTCTTCAGGACTAGCAGCAGCCCGTTCATTATATTTGTGTATCAGTTGAACTCAAACTCAGGCCGAATCATTGACAAAGCCCGAGACTTTAGCTTTCTCCACCAGCCCAATGGATGTAAGCCTGTCCTCTCTGCTCCTCTTTCAGCTGTGGAGCAAAACCAGTGAGAGTAGACATTTCCTGATGCAGTCTGTACCAAATAATAGGCCATTATTTATCTTGTGCCTAAGGCAAGATCTCTCCTTCACTTCACATCACAATACACGAAGGTAATTCAAGGAAGTTTGGGGAATGGCATGCAGCTGAAACTAATAATACTTTCCCAGTTTTAGAAATAATAATTGTGTTTTATCTAACCTTTGGATTTTTATTGAATATTTTTGTGCCTCTTTTATTTTCATGCCCAAACCCAGCAAATGTCAAGAAAGGCCCTTCCCTCAAACATTCTTTTGGGTTTGTTTTTTCCCCTCCACTTATTCTGGGGCAGAAAGAACTGCCAAGGCCAGGGCAAAGATGTTGGGCATAATGGAGATACAGTCAAATAAAATCCCTTTGAGAGTAGCCCATGAGCCTCTGAACTTCAGTCAGCATGCACTGACTTCTAATCATTGGTTAATAAAACAACCTCATGGTCTGGACTACAGCTCCCATCATTCCTGACCATTGGCTATGCAGAATGTGGCAGATGAGGGTAAAAACATCTGGAGGGTGTCATGTTGACTAGGTAAAGTTAAAGGGATCCCTGACCATTAGGTCTAGTCGTGGACGACTCTGGGGTTGTGGAGCTCATCTTGCTTTACTGGCCAAGGTAGCCGACGTACAGCTTCCAGGTCATGTGGCTAGCATGACTAAGCCGTTCTGGTGAACCAGAGCAGTGCACTGAAACGCCGTTTACTTTCCCGCCGGAGCGGTACCTATTTATCTACTTGCACTTTGACATGCTTTCGAACTGCTAGGTTGGCAGAAGCTGGGACCGAGCAACGGGAGCTCACTCCATCGCGGGGATTTGAACCGCCGACCTTCTGATCGGCAAGCCCTAGGCTCTGTGGTTTAGACCACAGTGCCACCCGCCATGCCAACTACCCCTGCCTTAATTCCTGTAGCCCTGTTAGATCAGACCATAGGTCCAACTAGCCGACCGTTTTGTTTCTGAGAGTGGCCAGCCAAGTGGCTCTGGAAAGGTCACAAGCAGACCATGAATATAATAAAATACATAAATACAATACAGTTCTGTTGTTTGCCCCCAACATCTGGAAGTTTCTTGCTTCTGCACTTGGTGCAGACATTTCTTGCTTCTGCACTTGGTGTGGAGGTTCATTCCAGTACCATAAATATCTATGCTTCATGATTTAGAGACTTGGAGATTTAGAGCTACTTTACAGACTGTCATCCCATTCTTGGCCAATAATATTGCCTGTCCTGAACTTTCTGCCAGTAGATATTTAAAATAAGAATAATGAATTAAAACAGCAATCCATTAAAAAGAATACAATCCATGCAGGAGAGACAACAAGTGTGGCTGATTTCCATATGTTTGTTCTGAAGAGGCAGAATCCCTTCTGGTGGCAGTTGGGAGAGGCAGGGGTCATCACTTTGAACTGGATTCCAACACTGTACATTTATATAAAGTAGTGTTGTCGAATATGGACAATACTCCCAATATGGGAGATATAACTGAAGAAGTTATAAAATCAGCAATGGTGCAGATAAAATGAATAAACTTTCCATCTATTAAAATTTCACATAAAACAAAAATTCAAGTTATCTGCTGAAATGAACAGATAGCAGGCTTAATATATATGGAAAGGAGTATAATATTAACCTTTGAAACTTGTTACTGGAAGGATTATTTCTTGGGAACTAGATTAAGTACATTTTAGATTCAGTACAGAGGATAAGGCTATTTTGTTAACACTACTCATCAAGATAACCAGAAGTGTGTAAAAACATGTAAAATGCAATCTCTGTTTTCAGAAATTACTACATGTTTACTGTCAGGAACTAGACTGAAGGGTATTGCTCTGAGGAAGAATGGTGGGAGCTCAAGGGCCTAATCCTGAAGCTCCTCTGGAGCAGGAGGATAGTATTGACCTAGAGCAATTGTTCACAGACAGACACAGTTTGGGAACTGACAGTTGGGCTGAGCTGGGAGAAGAGCAACCGAGGGGAGAAGAACAGGGAGACAGAGAGCTGGTTGAATCTCCCTCACTAGAAACTATGCATCCCATGAGCCTGAGAGTCAGGTGTCTGGATAGGGTAGCCTCTCAGAAGGCTCAGTGGTGGAGGGATCATGTGGTGAGGAGACAGGAAGACGGAAGAAACTAGAGGGAAGTGGGAGGAACTCAATGGGAGCACCTGCACTATGAGAATGGCCGCTGAATGTTTGTGCTGTGTTCAATAAACCTCTTTGTTGCTGCAAAAGACTGCTTTCACTTTGTGCTGTTATCTACAGAGAGGGGGAAGGTAAATCTTGCCTGGTAAGCCTGACCTTACCTAGGAATAGAATAGCAGATCCATGAAGAAAAGCATGGAATCCAATAGGCCTTAATTTTATTTATAGTGTTTAAAATTAATTAATTTGTGTTATGAAATTTACTTATTTATTAAAAACTTTCTTCCTAGCTGCTGACTACCAGAGTTGATACATTTGAAGGCACTTCCCACCTTCCATAAGATTACCACATATAAAATAATGGAGGCAGTGGAGAATGCTTGACCTCATCCTCGCCCGATAATATCTATAGTCTGAAAAGAAAAGAATTTCCCTTGAAAAGCTGCATGTCGATTTTTGTTGGGCAATGGGGTCCAGTAGATGCCAACAATGGCAGAAGGTTAAATCGACATGAATGGTAGTTTCTTTAAAGGCATGCAAAACATTCTGCCGTTGAATATGCAAAACAAAACCAGACTCAGGGCTATTTCTATGCCTTGCCCTGGTGCCAGAATACGTGATGAATGCAACAAATGTTACCAAGGAGATAATTGGAAGTGAAAAGTCAAAGCATGTCAATTTGCAAATTTTCAGCAGTGCTTTTCCTGACAGAGCAGCTTTTGAGCTGTAGCTGGCCAACTCCACTGTATCAAATTAAAGATCCTAACTTGTTTTCCTACATTAGACTTGTGAGTGCAATATTTTATTTTAATAATGATGATTCCATGAAGGTTTAACTTGACACATATATTTCCATCCTTTCTTGAGTTTTGAGTCCTGAGAATTTTATCTGCATATCCTAGGCACTAGATTGTGAAACCAGGCTTGTTTCAAGTGACTCTCCTTCTACTGTAGATATTTCACCACTGCTGAGGAGAAGGTAGGGACTCCTGGAGAGAATTTCAGGACTTGCCCTAGGAGTCTGGTACAAAGAAGAGACTACCTGCCCAGTTGCAAAAAACAGTGTTCCCATTTGCTTGCCTCAAAGGAAAATGGAAGTTCCACTCTGCCTATTGGACTGGACTGGAGGAACAGAACAGAGTGTTGTTGTGTTGTGTTATGTTGTTATGTTATGTTATGTTATGTTATGTTATGTTATGTTACTGTATGTTATGTTGTTATGTTTTATGTTATGTTAATAAAGTCGCTTGTCACCAGAAGGTCTCCAAGCAACTTACATTAAAGAAAAATATATGCAAATATATAATGCCATAGAAAAAATGAGGGGATCATATTGTACATTAATATTTTACATAACATACAACTAATGGGAAAACAAAAATAACACACCAGTCCCATGAAAAGTCACAAACTTTGTTTGCAATCCTCAGACAATAAAGAAAGCAATATTCCTACCCACTAATTAGCAGAAAAACAAAACTTCAGCCCCCCTCCCCAGTCCAAAATCCATCCACATTGGTGAGTCCACGGTCATCACCATCTTAGTCCAGAGTACAGGGTGGTTGGGCATTTCTCCTTTCCCTTCAGTAAAGGTAAAGGGACCCCTGACCATTAGGTCCAGTCGCGGACCGACTCTGGGGTTGCGACGCTCATCTCGCTTTATTGGCCGAGGGAGCCGGTGTACAACTTGCAGGTCATGTGGCCAGCATAACTAAGCCACTTCAGGCAAACCAGAACAGTGCACGGAAATGCCGTTTACCTTCCCGCTGGAGCAATACCTACTTATCTACTTGCACTTTGATGTGCTTTCAAACTGCCAGGTGGGCAGGAGCAGGGACCGAGCAACGGGAGCTCACCCAGTCGCGGGGATTCGAACCACTGACCTTCTGATTGGCAAGCCCAAGAGGTTTAACCCACAGTGCCACCCACATCCCTTCTTCCTTCAGTAGGGAGCAATAAAAAAAGGAAAGCAGGGAGACAGTGGCAAAAGTTTTACCTGCTTTGCAGTCATCCTGCCTCCTGTTTTTGTCTTGCTGCTGGTGGGGGTGCAGAAAGCAGGAATGTGCAATAAGAGTGCTTCTTCATACCCCGCTGCAAAGGAAGTGAATACATTGTGATAAGCAGCAATGGCTAAATAGCACTCTTGCACAATGAGTTTATCTCACCTACCCACCCGAAGAAAAAAAAGATATCCAAGGTGGGAAAAGTAATGGGAAGCTACAGCGGAAAGTGCAGGAGAACAAGCAATTGATGGCAATGTCATATAACCTCCACACAATTTGTGTGAGAACAAATCAGGAGATTGCTGAATATACAATTTGCCTGAAGCGACCAAAGAGAGGAAAGTAGGCCAGACAAAGGTGGACTATTGGGAAATGTCTGTGAATTTCAATAATAGGAAGAGGACCACGTTGTCAGGAGTGGTAGAAATGAACAGCTGTTGCAGGAAGTTGTAGAATTCCTGGCCATCTTGGCAAAACAGGATCTTCGGTTTAGCCTAATGCAACAGTCTTCCAAAGACCAGCTTCATGGTATGCCCTAGAACTAAAAGTACAGCATAACCAGGTGGGAATTTCAAACAGCTCTTGGAATTCGAGTAGGAGAACTGAACAGTCACAGCCATTCTACTAAACATTGTTAGTTGTTATTGCAAGAGGTGGTGTGATGGGCAAGACAAGCAATGATTCCACCATGAAGTAACCAAAGGCTCATTTATTAATGCAGCTTTTCATCAATATTTTTTGTAACAAAAGGCTTTGTTGGAAGATATGGAATGCCTAGATGGGCTATGTTTTTATTTGTTGTTTTAAAGTTGTGGCGAGGATCACTCTTTGCGTTGCAGCACCCAAAGTGGCTTTGTTGAATCTGACTTCCATTTTTTTTAAAATAAGCTTTGTGTTTATTGTTGAATCATATGGAAAAAACCAAGCTCATCAGTGTTAGCACAGTACCTCTGAAGAAAATTCTTGGTTAAGGAATTATATATGGCTTAATTACTTTCTTTTCATTTGTTTTAGAAAATATTATACATATCCGGTGACAGTATTCTTGTGTTGATTTTTGCTTTTCGATTGTTCACTTAGAAGGATATTGCTCCAAATATTTGGTGTTCTATAATTAACTTTGAAATGTTATGAGATCAGTGTGAATAAAAATCATTGTTCAACCATTGTTTTGGGGGGAACTGCTAGTTAGAGCTGAAGACTTCCTTCTGTGCTTCAGTGCTCTGATGTGTATTAGAATGAATTCATCTCAGAGGTTTTATATAAGAAGAAAACAGTGTGGTGTCAGTAAAAATAACTGTCTCCAGCTACTTGCCCCCTTCTACTTCCACAAGCAGAATCTTGCTAAACACTAATGAAGTCTTCGTTGTAATTTTCTGGTGCTTAATCTCTTACCAGTTCCATCGTCAAAAAGCTTCTCTTCAATTTGTTTGGTCCCTTGCCAAGGCTTTGATGTGCACCCCCCCCCCAATAGACATCCTTGGGTCATTTCCAAATGTAGACCTGGAAAACAATCTTGTTGATTCTAATTTCTGGAAAGAGGTGGGGGACGGGGTTCTAATTATTTTTGCCAAAAGGCAAATAAATACTTAAGCAAATAAAATTAGGTTTCTGTTTATCAAGTCTTCTGTTTGTGTATCCCATTGTAAGTGTTATTTATTCCCTTCTGTCTATCTTTTTTGTAATTTCACACCACTAAGGATCTCTATCAAGACATTTGAAAGAGGAAAAAGAGTAGCTATAAAGAAATTAATGCATAGAGATTCTGTATGCAGTTATGGCTGCAACAATCCGAAATTATCTGCAACTCATTCCCACTGAAAGCTGTGGAATGAGAGATGCAGACCAAATCTGTGTTTATTCAGGTTTACTCACAAAAAGTCCAACTGTGTTCAATAGGACTCATTCTCATGACTTAAGCTGCAGTTTTAGTCATGGATCTCATATGTCCTGCTTAAATCAATTAGCTTAAAATGCATTTGCATTTCTGCTGAATTGTTGCCAGAATCTTTTAACTCAGTGGAACACAAAAATAAAATGGGAGGGTGATTTCAATGTGCAAGCAAATATTTGATCATAACCCATCAATGATAGCACACTTAAAGACTAACCCAGAATGCAATTATCATTTTTTAACTTGGGTGCAATCCTGTCAAAATTAAACACACACTTAACTCTCTTACATTGAAATCAATGAAGTTTAAAATAGCTTAACTTTATCTGGATTGCACCCATGCATTTTAAACTTGCACTCTTCTGGGTACCAAATTTCTCACTGAAATTCCAAAGGACACTAAGAACCATTTGTGGAACTGAAAAGACATTTCCCGCAGAACAAATTTTAAACAATTGTGTCTCTGTCTGTGGTCTTTATTTGGACAGGTCACAAACAAAGTAATGAATGGAATACCATTTAAGAAGACAGATGAACAATGAAAAGGAAGAGAGGAGAAGAAAAGACAAAGGAGGAACAAGGACTCAGTCATGTGAAATTATTGTGATTGCCATTTCTATTCATTCTGTTTATGTGCTACAACCCTGTAAGGTGGGGCGCTGTTATTATAGACTGGAACTAAAGCGGAGCAATAATGTCTTATCTTGGCACCGTGCATTAAAGATGGATTTTAACATACCTCCTTGCTGTTTCCTAAGCATGGTGCTCCACGCCACTGAAAAACAGCTACAGAATGGCTTTGCAATGTGTGTGTGCCATTCTGTATAAAGAGAATGGATTCCAAGTTGTTGGACTAAATGATCCTTGGGATCCCTTCCAACTCTACTGTTTTATGGTCCTATGATTCTAAATCAAAATGTGATAACTGGAATATTACTCTTCCTATGTTGAATTCAGTGATGGAATAACTGTTGTATGCCTCTTTATTATAGAATGAAAGGCAGGCACTACTGAGGTGCTAACACAGGAATGAACACAATGTGAAGACGTCTCAGGTGTTCATAGTTTTACAATGTTTGTCCTTGAAACTGTTTCCAAAGTGATTGGGTGGGTGGAGGGAGGCGGGTGGATTGTGTGTGATTCTAAGGAGACCAGAGAAGGAATGCAGCTTAGAGTATCAAAAGAATCTGGTCCACAGGAAATGTGATTGTTTTAAAATAATCCAGAGTAATTGGGTTGAGAAAGTAAGGTGCAATTGTATGGAAGGATTTAAAATGAAATTGGAAGGGATTTTAAATGCTCTTACTAAATTCTCTGCATAATACTCTAGGCAGCCTTCAAAATCTTGATTTCAAAAAGCGGGATGCAGTTTGAGTGACCAGATTTTCAAAGTAAAATAATGGGCTGTTCATCACATGGGGGGGGGGGAATGTGTGGGTTTTTTTGATAGCAGGCCAAAAAAGTTTGGATTCAGGCAGTCAAGTGATGAAAAAGTAATGCCTGTACTGTCTTCTTTCCTTTATCCTGTCTGTCTCTCCTGATAGCCCATCAAAGTGTAAGATCAGTTAAGCAATCTTTTGCTTGCTGAAAGAAACAACACATGACATATCCTTTCTATTGCCAACAAGGTACTGTAAAACACAGGCTGTGTACATTTTAAGCACCTGACTTTCCCAAAGAATCCTGAGAAGGGTAGCTTGTTAAGGGAGCTGAGAATTGTAGCTCTGTGAGGGTCAAACTGTTTTCCATACCCCTGTGGTGTTGTTTGGCTTGGTTTCCTTTAATCATGGGTGTGCTTTAACTCCAGCCCCGGCCAGCTGGGCCAATGTTTATGGATGTTGGTAGCTGTAGTACAGCAACATCTGGAGGGGCACAGGTTATCTATCCCTGTCATAGATCCTAACACTTTAAAGATGCATATATATGAGACACCAGTAGTGTTAATTCCTGTCTTGTGTTATTCCATGACTCCCTCTTGGTTGTCAAGTTCCCAGTGGTAGCTTATATTTCTCATTTGTTGGTTTCCCTCTGGACTTTTTTTTAAAAAAAAACTTGGATCCTGTCAGCACTGCCTATCCATAATCTAATTAACACGGCATCTGCTTCAACTTCACACTTCTTTGTTTTGAAAAAGCAGCAGACCATTGCAGTAATGCACCATCTTCTTTGTGCTAAACACGCCTGAGCACAGAAAAGGAGATTCATATGACGTGATAGCTTGCTGCCAGCATTGAATGACTAAATTTGGTCCAATAAATTGCACTGGCTTCACTGTTTTCATTCTGAAGGACCAACATGCCTACTAGCTCAGTTGTCAAGGAAGGCTAAGAGCTCATATATATATATATATATATATATATATATATATATATACACACACACACACACACATACACACACACACACACACACACAAAATAAGAGTCCGGCATGTGGATACACTGTTTGGAAAATGGGCAAACAGACTTTTTGCCTAAGGCCCACATTGTCTTCTGGTCAACCTTCCAGAGGCCACATGCGAGTGATGGGTAGGCTAGGCCTACAGGCAAAAGTGGGTGGAGAAAATCCATTTTATCTTTGTGCAGTAGGCTTCTTTCTTTCTTTCTTTCTTTCTTTCTTTCTTTCTTTTAAATGCTTTTTTGTTTAACAGAGAAAAACAATCGGCAAAAACAATCCAAAATCCATACATATTACCAAAAGCAATAAATTCAATTCATACATAAAAAATTCCATTGTGACTTCTGATCACCCCAGTGTGGTTCCTACATTGCGTGTTCGACTCCGCATTTTCCCTTATCTCTCCTACAGTGTCTCAATTGTATTGATTTTGTACTATTTCCTATTGTCATGCAGGCGTCAATCCATACCTACCAAAGAATTTAAATTTTTACAGTGTTCTTTTAGATAAACTCTGTGAGTTTCCCATTCTCTATTAAATGTTTGTTCTGAAACATCTCTAAGTCTTCCTGTCATTCTTGCTAATTCTTGCTAGCTCAGCATATTCAAGCATGTTCGTCTGCCAGTCCAGCTTAGTAGGAATGGATTCTCCTTTCCAACCTTTTGCTATTAAGACTCTTGCTGCGGCTATTGCATACATAAAACTTTTTCTTATATTTTTTGGAATATCATTACTCATTATACCCAACAGAAAGGCTTCTGGCTTTTTTTAGAAAGTACATTTAAACATTTTCTTAAGCTCATTATATATTATACCCTAAAATTCTCTTCTTTTTTTACAGGTCCACCACATGTGGATCATTGTGCCCTCTGCAGCAGGCTAGTTTCTGTACACTTTCCTCTCTAACCTTCATCCAGGGGAACAAGAGTTCAACACATCCCTACACATCCCAGATAGGCTTGTGTGAAGCAGGGCTAGTGAGGGATGTGGCCTGGAGAGAGTCCTGAGAGTCAGATTGAGGGGCCTGAAAATATGCATTTGGCTACCTGACCTGAGTTTCCCTTCTCCTTCTATGTACCAAGGAGCTCCCAAGGATTTTTGTTAATGCCCTGCCCTCCCCCAAACCAAAATGGCTTGAATGCCTGCTGCTCAATGCTTCCTCCAAAGGTTGGCTGTAGCTAAGAGCATGCAAAGAGCCTGCTGGATCAGGCCCATGGCCCATGTAGACCAGCATCCTCTTCTCACAGCAGCCATTCAGATGCTTGAGGGAAACCTGAAAGCTGGACCTGAGCAAAATAGCACTATGGCCTCCTGTGGTTTCCAGCAGCTGGTACTCAGAAGCATTACTGCATGTGATAATAGTGCATGGGGAGAAGATTTCACCTGTTGGGTCTGGGGGTTAAGTACCTTAAGGCACCCTGACAGGACATTGGTAGACAAGGGCTTTTATCCACACCCATGTGGAGATATCAGGCTGTAAGGGATATTAATGGTGCCTAGGATGGGAAATCAGATGGTATTTAGATGTCTAAAATTTCAATATTTATTTCGTAAAAATTCAATACTGCTTGATTGTTTTTTTAAAACAACAACTAAAAGCTGTTATATAGAAGTTGCTTGATAAAATACTTGCATTCACCCCCTTCCTCAATTTCCTATCCACAGGCACTGGAAATGCTTCTGTATCCAAGGGGGAACAGGCGCCTTCAAAAATGGAAGCATCCCTCTGACTGGTTTGGCGCCCAAGTCACTTTTCCCAATCACATTCCTCCTCTCCTTTTAAATTATTCTGACATACTTTTCTCTTCAATGAAAGCAGTAAGTGCCAGTGCCAAATGGAGAAGCTCCTGAAAATGCATTGTGTCAATTATGCTGTACCAAAGCTTTCCCAGAAAAACTATCATTTCATGGGTAGTTTTACTATAAAATGCCATCTGTGTCAAATAAAGAATGAGGCAAAACTACAATATCCAATTCAACATTTGAGGATTATAATTAGCTGCTGAGTATATATGGACAGCCTTTAAAAAAAGATTTCATAACTCCTACGTTGCTGAGTTTATCTTAATAATGAAATATAATGGTGACGGAAGCAGGATTTACGGTATGTTATTTTGAGCTTACTAACAGGCAGTGTCACTGGTAACTCTTGTGTAAGCTGATATGCAAATTTTACAAATGGGTGCTTTTCATGTTTATCCTCTTGGCAGAAGTACAGGCTGGGATCAAAGTGATCGAGGCTGTAATCTAACATGATCAGTGATGAGGAGATATTCATGACTAAGGTCTCTGAGCATGTTATCATTGTCTTCTCTGGTTGGCATGAAGGCAATGGCATTATTTTTCAGGTTTGCACCTTGCCATTCCAGAAGAGTCACTTCCCTTGGTGGGAATGCAGTAGACTGCAAAATATTGAAGCAATTCACAGATATAATAATACTAGTGCTGTTTCTTTTTTGTTGATGACAGTGTTTAGGTGATCTTTGTAACAATCTGTATTGGGCATTTGACTTCGTATAAATTTTGGCTAATGTGGGCTACGAGAATTTGTCATGAAGTATTTCTTGAATAAGCTCTGCTTGTGCATTCAAAAGGATCTGTGAAAATTTCAGCTGGGTAAGGGCATGTGGTTTGTGCACGCTGCACCTGCCTACAACATCTCCATGCCCCACCCCCTCCTGAGCTTTCACTCTGTTTTCCCCCAATTTATCTTATTTTATTCTTTCATACAGAAATAACATAACATAAACATTAAATCCAACAACCGCAAAAACAAATGTCCAGATTTGGCCAACAGACCTAAAGCAATGCCACCATTCCCTACACAATGTCTTTTGTTACCCCAAAAGATCTCCCCATAACTAATCCAGTGTCTTATTTGGGTTGATACATTGAATAAAGCAAAACCAATCGTGATCAAGTGATCTCCCTCTGAATACTTCTTTTGTGGCCACAGCTGTTTACTTAATTTTCTCCATAATCACTTGTTGTGGCAAGCGGCAAGGAGAGGCGGTCTAACTCTTTTCATTTCAGAGATATAACCATCCTGGCTGTGACCAGTGGAAAGTTTATGATTTCTTTGTGTTTGAAATGAAATATTTGACTCTTAAACAATGAGAGCAGTGCTAGTTAATATTCCAGTTCTGTAGTTACCCTAATCTCCCCATGTACCGAAACCCAGGATCTATAA